GGGTCAATGTCAATGTATGGTGAAGGCAAGGCAGTCTAGCTAGGGTGATAGATACTTTCAGCCCTATTGCTTAGGCTGTTTCCCCCCTCCTCCTGCATAAGTGTGTGTTCCAGCATCATCACCACTCTCCCCTCCCACCAGCATGCTCCCTGTTTGATCTTGTAGTCTCTCGGAGTTCCTGTCTTACAAGTAGGGAATCATCATCATTTCTGGTATAAAGCACAGGCCAGGCAAGGCCAAAATAATTGCCATAACTCAAAATGCTACAGCTGGCAGACAGTTGTACAAATGCAGCCCTAGCCATTACACACAAATGAGTGATGCTACTTGGATAAGCAACAAACCATCTCATCTCCCCCGCCTGGGNTTTATTTATTTATTTATTGTTCGAATTTATATCCCGCCCTTCTCCTTGCGGACTCAGGGCGGCTGACAATCAATTAAAAACACCAATAACAACACAAAATTTAAAATTAATTAAAATGAAATATTTAACTTGTCTAATTTAAAATATAATTAAAAACTCCTCTAAAAACCCCTCTTAAAAATTACCCTAGGCCAGTCCCACTTGTTGGAATAGCCATGTCTTGAGGGCGCGGCGGAAGGAAGGGAGATCAGGGATCAGAGATCATGGTGATGTTTATTCGTCTCTTGAGTTCTATTAAGAAGAACAAACACACGTAAAGCAGACTAGAACCTAGAAATTTCACTTGTGCAAAGAAATGTCGGGATCTTTATTTGCTTATTATGATTTATTATAATTATTGCCCTTTAAGTTATTATCATTACATTACATTACATTACATTACATTACAACTCCAAACTTGGCAACTTTAAGACTTGTGGACTTCAACTCCCAGAATTCCCCAGCCAGCATTGCTTTTAAAAATAAGAATTATAATAGTATTTTAAGCACTGTATCATCCAGACTGAAATTAATGTTTTTTAATAGCTGCAGCAAAGGATGGAAATCATGACAATTGATTAGAATCCTAATTCAACTCTTACTTTAGATTCTTTTTTGATTATTGATAATTTAGCTTTATTATATGTATAAAGTATTATGACAATATCAGTATTTCTAAGCTTAGAATCTTAAAATGTGAGAACTTTTTACTGTATGGGGAGCAGCCCGAGAGCTAGATATGGTAGAATTAACTGTAGATTTCTCTACTATGACATTGATGATAGCCACCAATTTATATAGCTTGAAAAAGCTGTTTACTATTGCCTAAATCATAGGCAGCATATGTTAAATGTCAGTTGCTAGAGAACAACAGTAGGTGAGGAATGCTCCTTTCTTGTCCATATGATAAATGTCTTAAATGTATCTTATATGTGAAATAGAATTCTAGCTTAAATAGGCCTTTGGACTCTTCCAGCTCTCAGCAGTAAATCACATATATGATACTTAAAATGTGAGCTATAGCCAACAACTAATCAACTTTTGGGAATGCACCGTTGTTTTGTTGGAGAGCAAATATTATTTGCTTTAATCTGGGTTTTGCAATTTGCATTCTGGTTCCTGTTTGGGTTTTTTTTTGGGGGGGGGGGTTCCTGCATGAAATAGTAATAGCACTATTGTTACTATTAATTTTCTTTAGCATGTGTCTGTACCTGCAGGAGAAATGAGAGATAAAAAATAGTGCTGTAACACATTACAATCAACATAAAAACACAATATAAATGACATCATGTGAAAGAAAGGATATGATAAGATAGCACCAACTGGTGGAAGGTGGGAGCTGCCTATTAAGATAGGCAAGGAGATGGCAAAAGAACATTTTAGTTAACGTAAACAAATTCAGGTCTCCAAAACCAGGTGAATTGTAATTTAAAGTACTGAAGAAAGGAGCAGAGAAGACTGTAGGACTGCCAACTTTACACTTTAAGAAATTCTGGAGAATGGCTAGATCTAAGAAGACTGAAGGAAAGGAAAGGTTGAATCTGTCTTCAAAAAAAAAAAGACTCTGTAAAGTACAGCTCTTTTAACTTGATGTCTATACCGTGCAAGGTCCTCAAACAGATAATTAAATAACATATTTGTAAGCACTTGGATAGGAATGCAACAGTTCACAAGACCCAGCATGGGCTTGTCACAAACAAGCCAGGCCAGATTAGTTATAATTTCGTTTTTGACAGAGCTATTAGCATAATGGATCAGGGAAATGTCATAGACATAATATCTTCAGACTTCAGCAAAGCATTCAACAAAGTATTTCATGATGTGGTACCAGTCACTGCATATCTAAAAGGTTATCATACTGAGGAGGGAATGGATTTGTGCTCTGTTGCCCCATAACTGTTCAACTGTTCCAGTTGAAACAATTGGAAAATAGATTCAGGCTTGATATCAGAAGGAATTTCTTGATGGTTCAAACCAGTGTTTCTCAACCTTGACAATTTTAAGGCATGTGGACTTCAACTCCCAGAATTCCACAGCCAGCAATGCTGGCTGTGGAATTCTGCGAGTTGAAGTCCACATGCCTTAAAATTGTCAAGGTTGAGAAACACTGGTTCAAACTATCAATCAGTGAAAAAAAATTGCCTCATGAAGTGGAGATTTTCATTTCATTTCAAAGGACCCTGTGCTGAACAAAGGATATGATTAGATGACCCTTGGGATAGCTTCTACTGCTAGATTTCAGGAGCAGCATTTTTCCTTCAAATTATTATTCTTATTATATAGGTAATCTAAAATTAAATTAATTGTTTCATTTCTATATTCTACCTTCACCTGTATTGTTTTCAAGTGTTTGCCTTAATTGACTTTCTTCAGCAAAGATTCTTGGCTTTTCTTAATGTGATCAGTTAGACCATGCTTTTCTTCCACCACATTTGTAGAAGTCGTCTACCCCCTTCAGCTCTTGAACAAACATAGCCAATCAATATGACTTTTTGGGATGCAAACCATAGTGCCTGTCCATTTGGATTTTAAGTTATTATTACAATAGTATATCTGTTCACAACAATGTGAAATCACAGCTGCCAGTTCTTTAGCTGGTATGGGCCTTCATATGTATCGAGTTCTTCCCAAGAACCTAGAACAGTGGTGGCGAACCTATGGCACTCGTGCCAGAGGCGGCACTCAGAGCCCTCTCTGTGAGCACGCGAGCCATGCCCTGGAGATGGCAACCGTCCCTCTTCAACTAGCCGCCCGCTAACTTGCCAAGGTCCCACGTGGCCAGATGCATCCCACCCCCTGAATCTCGCCCAACCCTGCCCGGCCCCCACAGGCGTCCCTCCCCACAAGCAACATTGAGGTGGCCACGCCCACCTTGGCCACACCCACCCAGTCTGCCATGACCAACATAGCCACGCCCACCTAGTGGGCCACACCCACCTGGCACCCGGCGATAAACAAGTGGGTTTCGGGTTGCAGTTTGGGCACTCGGTCTCTAAAAGGTTCGCCATCACTGACCTAGAATGTCACAATGTATTAGTTTAATATATGTGTGGATCCCAGTAGTGTGTTCTTTGCAATTGACAAATGGAAATTTTTGTCAATGAGCAGTTTTTCTAAGAGCTCTCCAAGATTTTTTGGCATGGGACCCAGTGTGCTGATAACCACTGGGACTGAGATGGGCGCTGTATGCCCTAATCTTTCAATTTCAGTTTTCAGATCTTGATACTTTGTGATATTCTTCATTTTTTTCATCTTCAATTCTACCATGTCAATTATCTATTCAACCCCAGTTACATCTGGTGCATTATAAGCCAAGACTTTAAATCAGTCTGTATTCAAAAATCCTACAATATTTTAACCTGTTCATTTTTTACTATTTCTTCAGGTCTATGTTCCCACCAGTTTTTCAGTACTGGTACACGATCATTTTCACAGATGTTCCAGTGAATCGTTTTGGCAACTGTGTTATATTGTTGTTTTGATCTTACACGAGCTGCATATATGATCTACTATTTCTTGTGATTTGGTGCACAATCTGCATTTGCTGGTTTTTCAGTTCTGGCCTTGATTGCATTAATTCAAATAGCTTGCTGTGAGCAGCCAAAATCAAGCCCTCCGTTTCTTTTTTTAAAATGTTCCAGTTGTAAGCCATTGTCAGGTTTGATTTTTATTCCACCTTCCCCTCAATCTTTTGTAGACATTGACTATGCAAAGTTTTTCCTTGCCAGCATTCTGTTCATGCTTTTATTACATTATTTCAATATTCAATTATTGTTTCCTGTACATTTAGTAAGTTCCAGTTTTTAACGTGCATCAATGTTTGTTCTTGGCTGTCTTTTAAATAATCAGCTAATGCAGGGGTAGTCAACCTTGGCTCTTTTATGACTCGTGGACTTCAACTCCCAGAATTCCTGAGCCAGCTGTGCTGGCTCAGGAATTCTGGGAGTTGAAGTCCACGAGTCATAAAAGAGCCAAGGTTGACTACCCCTGAGCTAATGTATGCTTTTCTTCTTTGACAGCTTGTTTGACCTGAAGTAAACCTCTGCCTCCATTTTATTATTATGCCTTTGAATCAGTGCTGACTCCTGGTCACTGTCTGGACTAGTCCCCAGCTGTTTTCATGGGAAGCTTTTTCTGAAGGCGTTTGCCATGGCCTCCTTCCTAGAGCATACAATCTCACAGTTTCTAGCCTGATGCCTTAATCGCTACACCAAACTGGGTCTCTTCAAATTATATAACTAGCTAAACAAAATATTTGGAAGAGGTGGTTCATAGCATGATTGATGCATATCTCTTCAAATAGTTAAAGTAGCCTCATCATTGGAAGACTTGAAACAACTACAGCTTGTTGCAATTCACAGCTTATCCCCATATGCATGCAGAAACTGCTATTTTGCTTTACTTTCTGCAATGGATGGTTGCTTCAACGGCTCAAAGAAAGGTGCTTGATTTGTGCTTGCATGCAGTGTAAAGCACCACTTTTAAATATGTGACATAATTGTACTTGTTTAAACCTTCTGAATGAACTGTCTTTAGAAAAATGGTACTGATGGCTTCTTCTCTGATGTGCATTTCTCGGTGCTGATCTCCTCAGGTTTGGTTTCAGAACCGAAGAGCAAAATGGAGAAAACGAGAACGATTTGGTCAAATGCAACAGGTTCGCACACATTTCTCCACTGCCTATGAGTTGCCTTTGCTAACTCGAGCAGAGAACTACGCCCAGGTAAGTGCTCTTCATCAACACACCTGTCCTGGACTTCTGACAGTTTTGTCAGAGGTTCTGTCATAAATCAAATGAGATTTTCCTAGGTCAAATGAGAGTTTAAGGTTCAAGAAATGAACGTTTTAACTTTTCCTATTTGTAACAGTCATTTAATTATGTATTTATTGTTCATTACATTTGTTTGCCACCCATCTCACCACAAGGACAGTACTCCACAGTATGGAGAAGTGCAGAAGTGCAGAGGTGATTTGGAGAGTATGTGTCTCATTTGGTGTCCTCAGCCAATTGACTGATTGATTATGAGCCCACAAGCTGGTGTCAACTCTTAGCTATCATATAAATAGATTCCCCCCCCCATAATAACCTAGTCCTTCAGAACTTCCAAAAGTGCACCCATTGTCACTGCAATTGAGTCCATCCATCTTGCTGTTGGTTATCCTCTTCTTTCTTTTCACTCACGAAAAAGACCAAAACAAAGAAGAACGATTCAAAAAAGCATATTCTAATAAAAAAATATCTGCAAAGCATAAAAATATCTGAAGTAATAAGAGGCATGTGTTAAGAAAGATTTCTGCAATCAGACTACGCATTAGATGGTACCAGTTGCCTGGTAAAAATTAAATGACCAAAAATAAAAGCCAGAACTGAGTTTTTGAAAAATAAATAAAGCTGAAGGACAGCTTTCTGAAATAAAGGACCTATGATCACTGTAGTTCTACTTCATATTGTAAAAGAGATCGAACTGTCAGTATATAGAATAGAATAGAATAGAATAGAATAGAATAGAATAGAATAGAATAGAATAGAATAGAATAGAGCTGGAAGGGACCTTGGAGGTCTTCTAGTCCAGCCCCCTGCTCAAGCAGAAGAACCTACACCATCTCAGACAGGTGAATGTCCAGTCTTCTCTTTAAAATCTCCAGTGATGGAGCACCCACGATGTCTGGGAGTAAGCTATTCCACTGGTTGATTGTTCTCACTGTCAGAAAGTTTCTCCTTAATTCTGGGTTGCTTCTCTCTTTGGTCAGTTTCCAACCATTGTTTCTTGTCCTGCCCTCTGGTGCTTTGGAGAATAGTTTGATCCCCTCTTCTTTGTGGCAGCCCCTCAAATATTGGAATACTGCTATCATGTCACCCCTGTCTCTTTGATCAGTTTCCAACCATTATATATATATATATAATAGCATCAGGATTCTTGCCATTTTATGGAGCCTATTTTGATCTCCTTTGAGTTTTACCCTATTGCTCTCACACTTATTTGTAACCTGCCAGAAGGAAAGGTCAGGGCAGAACCCAAGCAAATGATGATGAAAGGCTGAGAAATGGAGGCCTGTTAGAAAACTGTGTTTTCCTACTTTCCATCTGGATCCTCTCCTCTGGCTTTCTTTCATCTTATGCTCTTCTCATCCTCACGCCTCCCTCTCTGCCTTCCCCCCCCCCCCCATCCCTTTGGGCATGCTGAATCTGGACTTCCCCCATCCTTGGTTACTGTAAGAATATTTCCCTTTTACATATCCTTTTTTTAAAAAAGGTGTAGTAGGGGCAAAGGAGTGCTGGAGTATGGATTTTATTATAGTTTCTAAAGGATCGCTTAGCTTTTGCTATTCTTTTGCAGCAAAAACAACAAAGAGTTTTGTGAGACCTGACCTGTTCACGTGTATTATTAACACATAAGCTATTGTGGATCAAGGTCCACTTCATCAGATAGGTGGTGGGGCAGGAAGAACAGAAGGGAAGGAAATAAGAATGATGAACTCTCACCTCTCCAAACAACACTTCTATGCATTTATAAATACCAGGTAGTCCTCGACTTACAACAGTTCATTTAGTGACCGTTCAAAGTTACAACAGCATTAAAAAAAGTGACCTATGATCGTTTTTCACACTTATGACCATTGCAGCATCCCCGGGATCATATGAACAAAATTCAGATGCTTGACAACAGACTCATATTTATGTCCAGGGGGCCATGTGATTCCCTTTTGTGACCTTCTGACAAGCAAAGTCAATAGGGGAGGCAGATTCACTTAACAACTGTGGCAAGAAAAGTTGTAAAATGGGCAAAACTCACTTAACAAATGTTTCACTTAGCAACATAAATTTTGGGTTCAATCGTGGTCATAACTCAAGGATTTCCTGTTCTCTTTTGTCAAAAGTATACTCCGTGCTTCTGGAAAGCTGGAATCTCAAATCTCTTCTTCCATAAGCTTTCAAGGTCATCATATCCTATCTCTATCCATACCCTAGCCACCCAGAGTCAGTTAGGTGAGATGGGCTGTGAAAAAATGTGATGGATGGATGGATGGATGGATGGATGGATGGAAGGAAGGAAGGAAGGAAGGAAGGAAGGAAGGAAGGAAGGAAGGAAGGAAGGAAGATTTCCCCCCCCTCTTGCTTTGGGGTAGCCACCACTTATCACTCCCACCACTTACCTTCCCCCACAGAGTTTCTCACCAGTTGCCTCCTCCTAACGTTGGTGTATGAGAAAAGTAGGTGATAAAAAGGTAAATTTTGAGTTTGGGTGGACGGTGGGGAAATGGTCCTCCCTTCCTTAGGAGACAAGCCAATTTCAGAAGCGGGAAATGAAATCAGAATTTATTGCAAAAAAGAATAGCTTAAAATACAAAATCTCCTCCTTTAACTTTAAATACCCACAAGGCACACATTCAGTGGCAAAGGAGATGAAGTACCACACTATTCAGATTGTAAGAAAACAGCAGGTTGCTATAAAAATGAAAAACCACAAAAGTGTAATGCCTCCAGCAGATCATAAGAAACTCCTGGTCTACTATAAATAGGATTTCTCTGTCCAAAGTCTCAGCAAAGAGAATGGAAGATTCCATTCGCTGATTTATTTCCAAATATGTATGGCTGCCTAACTCTACAGCAACTCTGGGTGGCATGAACTATTAAAACATCTTGAAATAATAAAGAACAGAAAGAAATGACAAATGCCCAGGAAGAGTAAAACAAACACATCCATCAATCCAAAACATGCCACAAAGGGCACATTATTGTTTCTATTGTTGTTTTCATCATCATTACAAGAAAGGTTTTAAAGGTTTTTTTTAAAAAAAATAGATCTTCTGGAACACACCTGAAAAACAGAATCTCAGGCTTTATGCAGAAATATAAAAGCAGAGAAAACTGCTTTACCCCAAGCAAATCAAACGGCAGTTAAAGACATGTCACATTTGTCTGGTCATTTATCTATGTCAGGGGGTCTTCCAACTTAGCCCTTTTATGACTTGTGGACTTCAACTCCCAGAATTCCTCAGCCAGCGTGCCTGGCTGAGGAATTCTGGGAGTTGAAGTCCACAAGTCATAAAAGGGCCAAGTTAGAAGACCCCTGATCTATTTCTTCCAACTGTAGTAGCTTTCTGAAGAGAAATAATCCTGTATTCTTCCTATACAAGCAGTCCTTGACTTACAACAAGGTCAAAGTTCAAAGTTACAATAGCAGCAAAGAAGTGACTTATGCTCATGTTTCATCCCCATGATCATGGGGTAGACAGCATCACCACCAGATGGATCCGTAGCTGGCTGACCGGCCACTTAACGACTGTGGCAGGAAAGGTCGTAAAACAGGGCAAAATTCATTTAACCAATGTCTCACTTAGCAACAGAAATTTTGGTCTCAGTTGTGGGGGTAAGTCGAGGGCTACCTGTACTTCTCTTTTTCCTGAAAATTCCAGACTTTGTCCCTTGTTCTCTCAGCCTCCATTCCCACAATCTCCTTCGGTTTCCGCCACAGAGCTACATTTGTCTTTTAAAATATTCAAATTTTCTGGGCTTGGAACTAGAGAGGAGCTTGGGTATCTTTCTGGATCTGCCCGAAACGAAGCATTCTCATGGAAATGTGTATTTCGTGTCTGAGCCAATGACAATCAGATGACTTTGGAACACAGTGAGGGTCATAAAAGCGAGGATTGGTCACATAGCTATTTTTTTTTAAACCATCACTTTGAATGATCATTAAATAAGGCAGCAAATAAGAGAGGACTATTTGTATAGTCCAGAGCTAGGCAACCTTGCTCTGCTGGCTCAGGAATTCTGGGAGTTGAAGTCCACGAGTCATAAAAGAGCCAAGGTTGCCTACCCCTGGTATAGTCAATTTCAGACGAGACCCTTCAACATGCTGTGGCATCAGCTAATCCCCATTTGGTCATTTACATATTTCTGAACAAGTGGAAAATTCCAACACCATCCCTTTTACTTTTGCATGGGTACATAACAGTAGCATTTCCACTGCAACCCGCTATAGTGTTTGTCCTTACAACCCTATGGCAGTTGTTTCACAGTGTGGTGTGTTGTGCACTGAAGCTGCATCCTTGCAACTGGGTAAGCCTAGTAGTTTTTGCTTACCTGTTTTGTGAGGCTGCAACCTAAACTATAATGAAGTTTGTTTGGCTAAGGCTAAATCTCCTTATTAGGACTAAATTCCCCATGATAGCAATAGCACTTAAACTTATATGCCACTTCATAGTGTTTTGCAGCACTCTCTAAGCCAGACATGTCAAACACAAGGCCCGGGGACTGGATGTGGCCCGCAAAGTGGTTTCATGTGGCCTGCGAAGCCATCCTGGAAACAGTGAGGGAACGACCCCCGCTGCCTTGGCCCTGGTCCAGGCCAGCCAGGAGCCAATGTACAATTTTGTGGTGGCCATCTTGTCACTTGCCCCAGTGGACCATGCCTTGGCACTTGCCCTGGTCCCACCCCCTTCTGCCAGAGACCCTCAGATCTCTGCCCATAGGCACCCTTGATGCGAATGATGTAGAACTGGCCACACCCACCCAGTAGGCCACACCAAGTCCATCAACGCCCACCCATTAGGCTGCACCCACTCTGGCCACACCCACCCGCCCCCCTCAGGGCAACTGCAATGCTGATGCAGCCCTCAGTGAAATTGAGTTTGACACCCCTGCTCTAAGCAGTTTACAGAGTCAGCATATGGGCCCCCAACAATCTGGGTCCTCATATCAACCTCGGAAGGATGGAAGGCTGAGTCAACCTTGAGCCCTGTCAGGATTGAACTCTGGGCTATGGGCAGAATCAGCCTGCAATACTGCATTCTAACCAATGCACCACTAACCATCCTCCCCCATTTCCTCTAAATTCATCCATCTCTTACACCTTCAACACTAAAACAGATACTATGTAAACTGAAACAGGGATAGCTTGACTGAAAAAAAAGAGAGACATATTACAGTAAATGCACAATCTGTCCACACCTTTAGAAAAGTCCTGCTCTTGACTTTTGCGATATGGGATGAGCCAATGTGAACTAATTTTCCTTTCCTTCTTTCTTTCCTTCCTTCCTTCCTTCACTCCCCCCCTCCCCATCTCAGATACAGAATCCTTCCTGGATCGGCAACAATGGTGCCGCCTCCCCCGTGCCTGCCTGCGTAGTGCCCTGTGACTCGGTGCCTTCCTGCATGTCCCCCCATGCTCATCCCCACACCACCGGAGGAGTCTCCGAATTCCTGAGCGTCTCGGGTCCCGGCAGCCACGTGGGGCAGACGCACATGGGCAGCCTCTTTGGCAGCGCCGGCATCAGCCCCAGCATCAATGGCTACGAGCTGAACGGCGAGCCTGACCGCAAGTCTTCCAGCATTGCAGCCCTGCGGATGAAAGCCAAGGAGCACAGCGCTGCCATATCGTGGGCAACATGACAGGGCTGCTGCTTTTGCCCTCGAGAAACTGACAGCTCAAGCAGGACAGATGACCCAAACCCTCCGCTCTTGGACTGGGGGCGGTGTGCGCCCTCCTCAGAGGTCTGAATGCAGCACTTTTGGCTTTCTTAGGGAGAATGGCATGGTGCCGATTGCCGTATTTGGAGTGTTTTAAGCATGTAGGCCTTTCCCCACCCCCACCCCACTCCTCCTCCCCAGGAACAGGAATGTGGAAGTCAAGAGGGGATATTTCTCCTGCATCAGACAAACTTGAGTTTTCAATTCCCCTTGTGCTGTTGTTCTCCTGATTGCCAGTTTTCTGTTGTTCCTGCTCTATCTAGCATGAAAGCTGCCTCCCACCAAGGCTTCCATCATGTAAGCCTTTGGCCTTTTCCACAGTAATATCGGGGTGGGGGTGGGGGAGGATTCCAAAACGTGCTTTCTTTTTAAATAGTCCTGTATTTTCCCATGAGATCCTCCCTCCCCCCTTCCCCCCTCCCCCCTTCACATTTCTGACTCCAGAAAATCTATTAAAGTGGAAGGGGGGGGGAATAGCTGCACAGGGTTTCTTGATTGGGAGCATTAGGAGCCCTCCATCTGGAAGTTCATCTGATTTCTTTCTCTCTCTCTCTCTCTGTCGAACAAACAAGAAAACAAAGGCCAACCCACAATTTCTGGCTAATTGCTCCCATGTGAGCTCTTGTGAAACCCTTATATTTTAATGGAGCAGAAGGGGTTTATGTATGATCTCCAGCACCAAAAAGCATGTGGATCACTGTAGATGGCTAATACCAAAGACTGGGGAGACGGGATGCATCTTGAGTAGAAAGTGTCCTGATTCAGGTACCCTAGAGCAAAGTTGCCCTAAGGCAACAGAAAATCTATCCACACCTTATCTTCCATGTGAACTGTGTGAGTTACTGAGTTGCTTTATGTCATTTTTCTTTTACTCTGTCATTTCAATCTCCTCTTCTGGCCAAAGGATGCAATAGTGAAGGCATGAGTCAACTGTGGGTTCAATGAAAGGCAAGCTAAGAGTATGCCATCTCTAAATAGAAATTGGGAGCACAATGGCTCAGTGGTTAATGACGTTGAGCTTGTCAGCTGAAAAGTGACAGTCTGGGTCACACGATGGGGTGAGCTCCCATTATTTGCCCCAGTTCCTGCCCACACAACCATTTGAAAGCATGCAAATGCAAGTAGACAAACAGGTACCACTTCAATGGGAAGCTAACAGCATTCTGAGTGCCTCAGTGTATAGTCATGCTGGCCACACAACTAGACCGGGGAAACCTTTATCTTTAAACAGTAGTTACAAAAAAGAGTTTTCAATTAAAATCTCCATAGTGTCATTTTGCAATCATAAGCCCATGAACTGATTCTGACAGCAAGCCAAGGACTCCTATGCTAGTGTAAACCAAGTCAAACTTTTTTATATGTTACCTAGTATTTGGAACACTTCGGTACCACGTCCCCCCCATCACACACAAATGCATTTATTGCAACATCAGCAAACCAGTTGTGGCAATTAAATTAATTAATTAATTAATTATCCACAAATTAAGGGTTGCCTAACCATAAGCCTGATGGTTGGTTTCAGGGACGAACAAAACAGGGAGAAAATCTGTGGGCACTAAAGGAGACCGTCTCCCTAACTTCCCACATTAGGGAAAGCAGACCAACGTATAGGATTTTCTCTTTTAGATTGACATATTTAACATACAAACTTTGGAATAATAACTAAAGAGCTTGATGGTTCCAAAGAAATCGTATGCCCGCTGCCATCAGTAATAATCCACTTTAAATACTGCCTTTCTACTATCGCTATCAAGTTGTTCTTTCTTCAATCCCAGTTCCTCCCCACTCGGTCGAGGTAACTCAAAGGCCTATCTTGAAGAAATGAAGCAAGAGGTTCCCCCCCCCTCCTCTCTTAGTTGGAAATTCTTTTTTCTTCCAGCCCAAAGCGAAGTAGCAGACACAGGCCTGCCTCATGTTGTTCCCATTCATCAGGATAATCACGTTTTCCCAATTTCCATATGGTTGCCCTTTTTTAAAAAAAGGATCAAAGAGGATTTAGGTCCAGCCAGCTGAGATTCTGTTCAAAAAGCTGAAACGGTGCTTGGGTTTTTGCGGTTTCTCCATCAGGCATTCACATCCACTGGAGAAGAGAAACTTAATGCTTAAAACTGTCTAACTGGCTTTTAAGAAGCGTTTGTTGGGTTAGTAACTACTGGTCTTTCCTTTTCTGGCGAGCGGTTGCTTTGCAGGCTTTTCTATTCAGATACTGTAGATTTTAATGGGCTTCAGAGGAAAAGCAAGACTTTTGCCAGCCTTTAGGCACAAGCACCCTCCCACCAGGGGTATGATCTGCAGATAGCCATGCTATCATGAATGTGCACATACAAACCATCCTGGAAAGGGAAGCCTGCAGCGGGGATGCATGTAAAGGAACAGCCGTAACATACCAAGTACATAGAATTCCAGAAGGAAGAAAAAATCTGGGGCAAATCTGAAGAGGGGCAAGAGAGAGGATGCGTTCATTTTATAGGAATGGAGTAGAAAAAGCAGTGACATACTTGAGAGTTAGGGAGACATCTCCTCCTCCTCCTCCTCTCACATACATTGTTAATCCCAGAACATTTCTTAGTATTTCTGACTAGCTGTGGGAATAAGATGTCTGCCTGTAGCATGCAGAGTAAAAAGGCCTAAACTTTATTCCTTTAGAGACCTGATGCATTTTTCAATTAGTCAATACTTTTAAATTCCATTAGATTCAGTGGGAATGCAAAACATCATTAGACTTGTTGCCCCGTGGGGTAAATATGAAGAAAATGTTGTAAGTTATCAATAGGAGTGCTACCTTCAGAAAAGCATTTAAGGTGCTCATAAAATTAAAGAGCCACTCTTTTACACATGTTGTGCTGTGTTTAAAACTGTCCAAAAAAACTCACTATTCTTTTTTTAAAAAATCTATGAAATCAAGATTGAACCATCCCAAGCAGTGATGTCATTACTTTCTATGACTGGAGATCAATAAGCCATCAAATGATTTTAAGGCTATCCATGATCCATGCCTAATCATGTTTTTGTGTTTCTGAGTGTGCATTCATATGAAAACACATTTGTGTGCATGCTGACTCCAGGTATGTTTATTTTATAACAGCTAGTTTGCCATCTTTGGGATGAAGGAGAGGATCACTCATAAAAGGGAGATACTAGCTCCGCCCAAATTTCTTTGTTTTCAGCTGGTAAAAAGGACTGGAAGTAGAATCATGCTGCTACTTGAGCTGTTCGTGCTAAGTCAGCTTTTCAGCTTTTCAAAGCTTTAAAGCAGGCAAGAGTATTTTTGGCTAAGTTCTTTTACTATCTGTTCATCTCATGTCAATGTTAGTTCCCAAGTGGCTTTGAATGTGAACAATTCAAGTGTTCATCAACAGCATATACTTCAAAAGGTGTTTCAGGATCTGTGTGATGTTCAACCCAATATGGTACTGTATGCATCAATTCCTTGAAAAACCAATGATGGAGTAGCCCATTGTGTTAAGTCTCCATTTTCCTCGCATTAATAGGCAGAATTACCTAGGACTCTTTTTGCCTTTTACTCCACAACACTGGCCAACAGTGGACAATGGACAAAGAAATGATATACATATAAGAAAGATGGGAAGAGGGGGAAAATTCAACATAGGATTACCGTGTGCACGTGTGCCCATGATATTAAAGATAGCATTTAACAGTATTGTAACTTCAGTGGAACCCTTTTGTTGAAGTGCAACCTGAACAAGAGAAGTCCATTAATGGCAACAGCACAAGAGCTGAAGCTGTACTGAATACTGATTGTGAGCACCAGAGCAGTAGTGGGATTGAAATACCTGAACTTGCATCTTATTGGATGCAAGCCTGGGCCTCCGAGGCCTAGAGCGGACTTCTGGAAGTGGCATCCATGAACTTCCAGTGGGCTGTTCTAGGCCTGGGACGCTTCTTCCAGGACTCTGAGGCCTAGAATGGACTTCCGGAAATGGCATCCACAAACTTCCAGCGGGCTGTTCTAGCCTAGGAGGCCTCCTCCAGGCCTCCGAGGCCTAGACTGGACTTCAGGAAGCAGTGTGCATTAAGCCGGTTCTCCGAACTCAGGTTCTGCCGAACCTGTGCGAACTGGCTGAATCCCACTACTCTACCAGAGGCTTTCTGAATGCCCAACAGTAGCAGCTGTTTTCAACTGTCAAACTATAGGCCAGAAGGTTGGGTAGAAGGAGCAATCAATAAGAAATTTCCTTGGGGGATGAGGAAAGCTGGGACTATCTTACCTTCTATTCCATTGGTAAATGAATTGCTGGTAAAGGCAATACAGCCTAGGCTAAATCAGTGGTGTCCATCCTTGTCAACTGTAAGACTTGTGGACATGGCTGGCTGGAGAATTCTGGGAGTTGAAGTCCACAACTCTTAACTGTTGCCAAGGTTGGACATCCCTGGGCTAAATGAAGGGGGTTAGGGTTTTTTTTCCTTTTTTTTACAGGGCATTCTTGTATCTGTCTTTTTTTTCCCCTTCACTCATTTAATGATTTTGCCTTGTCTCAAATCATACCCCAAGGTTTCATTGTAAAGCAATTTGAAAACAAACAACAGTGGGAAAAGGTAGTTTCCTGGAAAGTGGTTTGAAAAAATAATCAACAAGACACAGCTGCTGAGAACTTTGTTTATTTTGCTGCTTTGACTGACACAGGAAAAAACAAACATTTGGAGGTGTGTGTTTTTTTTTCAAAAAAAAAATAAAAATAAAATCAGCCCAAATGGAACCTAGATGAAAGCTTTTTGACTGCTTTCAGCTTCATGGCTGGCATTTCAGGGAAGGCAAGGTGACTTTTTATCCTGCCCCAACTCTTTATTAACAAATTGTGGATGACCCACTTATCCAGTCCTCCTTCCGCATAAATAGATAGTGCTAGGACCTTTGTACTACTGATCTTGAAGGGCAGTTTTCAATGTGTAATAATATATCT